TTTCTTTCCCCTACCTGTCAACCAGAATTTTTACTTCCTCTCCCGCTCACTGGGAAATCCTGAAGACCGAATATATGTTTTTCACACCTGGTTCACCCTTCCCGACATCACACCTATGAAAACATTGCTCCATTTCTGGGGAATGTCCAAATCCAAATTTCCTCATTTCTGGGCCTGACTTTTGTCTTGACAACCAAACCAGACTTGTTGAGGTCTCCTGGCTTGCAAAACTTTATTAAGAGGTTTTGCAAACCTCTTTTGAAAGCAAAAGAGAAACAAGGTAGAAACCCAGCAAAGAGGGCAGGAAAAAAATGTGCGCTGCCCTTTGAAGTTTTGCTCTGTTTTCTATTGTTTTTTTTAATTTTTGCAATTGTTTTTTTTTAATTATTTTCATTTGATTTTTTTAAAATATCATTTGGCTATTTTGATTTCATTTTTTAAAACATTTCATTTGACTGTTTTGTTTTATTTTGATTTCATTTGACTATTTTTATCTCATTTGGCTGTTTTTATTTTATCATTTGATTTCATTTGACTATTTTGATTTCATTTGACTATTTTGATTTCATTTGGCTATTTTTACTTTATCATTTTATTTCATTTGACTCTTGATTTCATTTCACTATTTTTATTTTTTATTTCATTTCTATTTTTATTTTATTTTGATTTCATTGGACTCTTTTGATTTTATTCTTGTTATTTCATTTGACTCTTTTTATTTTCTCATTTTGATTTCATTTGACTCTTTTTTATTTTATTGGACTCTTTATTTGCAGGAGCCAATCTGGATTGGTTACCAGGACCAGAATTTTTTTAAAAAAAATTTTTGTTTTTGTTTTGATTTGAACATTTTTTATTTTACTTGACTATTTTTTCTTTCCTTTGATTTCATTTCATAGGATTAGTTTTATTTTATGCTATGGTTTGCCACCCAGCCAGCCAGACTGGATTTTTGGCATTTTTGTCTGTCTATCAAGTCCTTTCCAAGAACTTGGGATAGGCAGTTGTGGATATTGGATGGAGTTACCAATTTTATTTATTTCCGTTTCATTTTATTATTTGAAGTTCTGTTTTGTTTTTCTTTCATGTTATTATTTTTACTTCTATTTTACTTTTTATTTCATTTGATTTTTATTGGTTTTTTATTTCATATTACTATTTTCATTTCTATTTTATTATGTCTATTTCATTTTATTCTTTTTCCTCTCTATTTGATCATTTCTATTTTATTTTCTATTTGATTATTTCTATTTTATTTTCTACTTGATCGTTTCTATTTTATTTTCTATTTTATTGTTTTTATTTTAGCAGGCCAACAAAGCTACAGCACAGTGCCAACCTGAGCAGGAGCAAAAAAAGAAAGAAAATCGGATTTTGGAGTTGGCACCCAATTCTCTCCCACTGCATTCCATTCTCCAGTTAAAAATAACAATGTTCAAATAAGATCCTAAATTCTTTGGCAAAGAAACTCCCGCATAAAAGGATCTGGACTAAACTTTGCTGGGCAGAGTTTCCCTTGGCACCTTTTTTATGATGCCATCTTGAGAAAAACCAAGCTTGTAAGGGAGTCTCCCTCCATGCAGGGCCATTTAGGACCGGGAATGGCTGGGTTTATTTTTCACTCAAGAGAAAATCTCCCACGCCCCCAATTTTGGGAGCAGTGAGCCCCCAAGGAGATATTTACCCAGACTTCGGGGGGGGGATTTTTGGACTGCAATAATTATTTTACCAATTTTAATACCGCCTGGAACCACTCGATAGCGAGAGGGGCAGCGTATCAATTTAATAAACGCATCCATAAATAAAATTCAACCTGGTTGGATTAGCTGATTCAGAATTTCATCCGCTTCATTCATTTAATGAAGTTTTTTCCCTAATTTTGGCAACTTTTTAAGATATCTTTGAAATACCTGTGTGTGTGTTTTTGGTAGTATCTATGTGAAAACCTGGCCAATTCCTGGATTATATTATACACAAAAAACTAGTGTACACAGCAACTGAGAACTATGCTAGGTTTCATATCACAAATCACTAGTCCAACACTTCCCAAGCATTTAGGACTGCGTGATGTATCGGCAGATTATGCAATTATTATTATTATTGTTAATATTAATATTATTCTATAATCTTTAATGAGATTCACAGCCTTTGGGGCTGGTTGATAGCTCAACAGATCGAGTCCTAACCAAGGACCTAGGAACTGTTCAGGTAGCCTGGGATGATATAAGATGTTCCAAGTAGAGTGGTCTTTTTGTAGAATCAAGCCTGATAAATTCAGAATTTCCAAATAGCGAGGCATCCCTTTAGATATTGCTCCAAGGGCTCCAATCACAATTGGGATAACACACAATTTCTCAAAGTCACTCAACTTCAATTTGTAAGTCAATTTGTAGGTACTGTATGATTTTTTCTTGCTGCTTGTCTTCAATTCGTGCATCACCAGGTATTGCAATGTCAATGAACCAAACCCTTTTCTATTATTATTAATTTATTATTATTAAATCTTTAGTGAGATTCACAGCCTTTGGGGCTGGTTGGTAGCTCAACAACTCAAGTCCTAACCAAGGATCTAGGAATTGTTCAGGTAGCGCCGGAGGATATATTATTATTATTAATTTATTATTATTATTATTAT